TTGCACAACCTGGAGACCTGGTTGATTTTTAGATGAAAGCAATAGCTCATCACCTTTCTTCCACCAACGTAGAGAAAAATTAAATCCACCTTAGTTATCACCACCATTAGCAACAACCTTTCATTGGCTGCCTCTGCCTCACCTACCTCTTCATCAAACCATTCTCCTTCAAGAGCTTCCTCCTTTAGCAGAAGTCCCCAAAGCTACTTAGAAGACCCTTCAGGCCATCTCCTTCAGAGCAAACACTTCTCTGTATTCAGGATGCAATCCCACAAACAACACAGACACTCTTATCTTTTAGACGGTCTTGCCAAAACAGCATCTCAGAATGGCGCCCAGTCCAAACTGAGCGGGGAAACACTCCCCAATATCCACAAGCCCAGGTGCAACTGGGAATAGCCTACAGGGAGATGCAGAGGACAGTACAGATGCTGAACGCCATTTCACAGGGACATACCTTACCTCCCCTCCGCTCTGCAGCACCAGTCGCCTTGTGAAGGAGAAGCACCCACATCCCAAAACTGAGTAGCTCTTATAAAATACAAGAATGAGGGACAGCACTCTAGGAGCTGTTGCAAAACCAGGCTGAGCTCAGACCTGGGATTGACATCTCCTAGGGAATTAGCAGAGGAGCACCTGGTTTTGAATGCAATCAAGGTGAGGTGAGAATGAGGTAACTAGTTGCTCAACTCCATCAAGCTGAGGTCAGCTCGCAGCACATCCAGCTGTGTCGCTCAAAAGGTACATGGGAATTTTAAAGTAAAATCTACATATATATTTTCAAAATGAGGTACCTATAGAGGTTAGGCATTGCCAGAGTTTGGGAGCAGCTAATTACAATCCTGATGAGCTGGAGGTTTCCAGGCTGAACTCTTGCTAAATCGCCATATTAAATCTTGTGCTTACTTTTGACTCCTTTTCTAGAAGGTCTCTGAAAAATGGGCGATCTGAAAGACTCCCATCAATTACTCTGCACCGGATGCAAGACTTGCTAAGAAAAATTAAATTGTTTTAATTCAGTTTAGTTAAGTGGCAATTGCTACATTACATAAATCTGTAATGTTCTTTAGGCACTGCTTTGTATAGCACTGGCCTGGGACTCTTCTGAATTTAATGATAATGAATTTTTATATCTTAAAGTGTTGAGTGTGTAGGAAGCAATAGCAACCACTGGCCCCAGAGGTTTGGATCAGCATCACTACTGTAAGTGCAATGCTTTTGAAAAGAAACTTGGCACTGGAAAGGTTCCCCACCACCAGCTATAAAGGACTGAATTTGTCCTCCAGCATCCCTGATGCAGGAGGATGATTTCACCAGCCACCAAGACCATCCAGTTTTTGCAGCAGGGCTGAGGGCAATCCCTCAGGTCTCCTTCCCTGAAATGGTATTTGATGAAGGTACTTTCGACAGGACAGATCAGCCCACACAGAACCCAACTGAGCAAAACACGCACACGTTCACCACCCAGCGAAGCCTCCGGCTCCCAAACACAGCGCTGTGCTGGGTGGGAGCTCACCTATGTGATCAAATCCTGCTGGCCTCAGCACACGCTTCTGGGCTTTGCCGTGGGGCCAGCACAGTTGCTGGACATTAATGGGGTGGACATGCAAGTGTCGGGGGTCAGCACCACCAAACCCATGGGGGGAGGCCGTCTCTACCTCCGCAGCGTTGAATGAATACAACCGTGTCCATCGCTTGGTAAAATATAGCTTTTATTTGTTCATACAAATAGTATGAATTACCAGAATTTCATTTCCCTAGAAACATCTTTCTCTGTGTAAAATTAATTTGTGTTGTACATACCACAAAATAATCGATTTACATTTTTTTTCAGATTTTCTTTTTTGTGCGTTTTTTTTTGTTTTTTCTTTCCATTTTGTTCTTTTTCTTACAAATTGGCTACTCTATAGTACCATGTTACAGACAACACGTCACTAATATCTGTACTGCACTTCTGAATACAGGACTGAATGAAACTCAGCCATAAATTAATGTTACTATGTGGAAAAAAAAAAAAGAACTTCTAATCACACCTCCAAGCTTAACTTCAAAAAAAGTTGTTGGTTTTTTTTTTTTTTTAATTATGACAATAGCACTGATTCCGGTATTAGCAACCAGATGTACACCACGGGAAATTCACCTTCATTGTCTTATTTGCTAGGTAAGGCCTTTACGTTAAAAGTCTAGTGCAGACTTCATTACGAAGGATATTGAGCCAGGGCTAACAATTTGCTTAAGGTTAGAAGAGTTATTATTCACTCTCTGTATTTCTACTTTCCAACAAGATTGCTTCATGAGAGCATTTTTCAGCAGGGCTTGATTATACAAATTAAGCCCACACTCTGCTGTAGAGCTGAGGAAGGCATTGGGATATTAAAAAGTTGTTTCCAAGAAAGGAAGAAGGAAGACGTAGGGGATGCGAAATCTTCCAGCATTCAAAAGCAGGCACGCACACGTGCTCCGGAGGGAACCGCGCGGAAAGGCAGCCACGCCAACGCGGCAGATCCCGGAGGCTCTTGCCACGCAGCGGAAGGGCTCAGCCAGCGAAACCGCTTGGGGAAGCGGCGCGGTCATGGCTGGGAGCTCACCCAAAGGCCAAGTGGAGAGGATGAGCGTCTCTCCACACATTGCATAAGCCAGCTAGTAGGACGACTGAGGTTTTGAGAACCAAAACCCATGCTTTTCCACCAGGAATTATTTTCTTCTCCTCCCCACCCCTCACCCCCCGCAGCCCCTTCCCCTCAGTCACCCAACAGCAGCAGGGTTTGTGATAAAGCAGACACGCTTGTGCATTCATCGCCTGTCCTGGCAGCAGGGAACAGAGCCAGGGACCTGGCTGGAGCTAAAACCAAAGCCCCCAAACATGCATAGATCCAACCGCCACTCAAGGTTTGCAGCTGTGTTTTACAGGACGGGCGTTGTGTGTGTGGTCTGTCAACCTGCGCAGCTCAGCAGGTGCCTGTGACCTCTGGAAGTGGGACTGCATCAGGCCAAAGCATCGCTTTGTTGCTAGAAATGGCCCAGGGCAAAAAGGAGAGGATTTGCCCAACTTTCCTGTTTGTGCTTGGAGGCAAACCCCAAGGAGGGATTTGCACCCTGCTCACAGCAGGTTTGCTAGGCAGCTCAGTCCTGACATTATGCTTAGCATCTCCCTTTGCTTGAGGACACCCCAGTGCACTGCACCCCATGTATGAACCCACACACACCTCACCAGCACTGAGGGAGGTGCGAGTCCCTAAATCCCTTCAGAGATGTGACACTGCTGAGCCAAGCCAAGAGCCCTTAGGTTCAAACAAAGCACTGAAGGGCAGCACTTTACCTGCAAATCCCTCCAGCAGACCCAGAGGTGGGTATCCACCTGAGCAGGACTAAATCAAGACCCAGGGAGAGTCCAGGCTCCAAAGAGCCTTTTCATCACCAAACAGCTGCAGCAGAGAGCTGTAAGGAGCAGGCAAGAGCAAGGAGGCTGCAAAGTAAAAGAAACATCTGGGAAATGCCACTGAAAACACCCCACCACAGCTGGGCATGGCTCAGCAATGTGGTACTCAAAGGTGGTTTGCTATGGGTGACTGGGGAGATGTGCAGGGCATGCATTTATATAGGCAATGTATACGAAACTGGAGCATTAACACAACTCACATATGCTCTGCCCATTGGCGCATTTGCTGTTTCGAGTTTTACTTACACCGCCTGCTTTATGCAAGTGCCTACATGGTAATGTCATGAGATTTATCCAGCAAGCTCCACGCTCAGTGCGGTACATCATTTCAGCGCTGCAGGTGAGGTGCATGGGTTTTTGTTGCCCAAAGACAACATAGCCCTGCTTCTGTTAAAAATTCAAGGAGCAAATCACTTCTGTTGCCACCTTGCTCTGAAAAAGTTCCAGTTGAGCTAGCAGAACCCCTGACAATAACGATAAGGCACTGGCACACACGGTGCTTATCAAAACGTCCTGAGCACACAAAACGTGCCTAAAGCTCGCAGGAGAGCCCTGCCAACCTGTCCTAATGCCCCAAAGCATTTGGTTCCACCTGAGGGGAAGGATCTCCAGGTTATTGTACCTGGGTTGATGGTTAAGTGCTCAGAGCCTCCTGTCCTGCCTGGCTACCACCCCTGCGCTTGCCCGGGGCATCAGAGCGGGGGGGGGGTGGGTGTACCTGGCTACACCTGGGCTGAAAGCAACACCCCAACCCAAGTACAGCCCAGACTCCCCCCTGCTTTTCTACAGATTCATCCTTGTTGGCAAAGCAGCACTTCTTCCTGGCTCTAGGCAAACGCTGCTCCTTGGGAGAGACCGTGGATAGGGTGTTGGACCAAAATGTAACGGGAATCAAGGGGGCCAAGGTTGATGTTCCCCAGCCTCAGGCACCGGGAGCTGCTCCAGCGGCTGCAGGGCTGGAGATGGTAGTGCTGCCTGTGCCGTGTCCTGGGACACCCTCCATGCTGGGGATGGCACCAAGCAGAGACCTGGGGTTTTCCCGTGACACCGCAACTCTGCTGGCGTCTTTGGTGGGTGGACGCTGCTCCCCGCACTGCCGGTGCAGCGGCACAGGCACTCCAGGAGCGACGCTTCTTGCAAGTCATTCGGACCAGCGCCGAGCGTGTCACATACAGATACATGTATTTTTACATTTGTCCTGCAGTAAAGATTTAAAATGCATAGAGGGATCGTGGGAAAGAGCCTCCTTGACAAAATGCAAGAAAGATAAGTATACTGAGGAGACAGCTCTGCCCATGCAACAGGCTCTGCAGCTCCTCCGCTGGAAAATGAGCACGTTACCCTCCCGGCAGAGTCCTGGACTGCAGAGCAGGAGCTGTATGGCTTGGGGTTCCCTGCGCTTCACAGCCACCAGTAAAACGCAGAGGTATGTGGGTTGTAGGGAGATGACCAGCCTCCCTCCCCACCCGCCCCAGAGAAACCTCCCCCGGGGCTGCAGGACTAACTGTAAAGCTGTGGGACAAGGGAGCACAACACCGGAGCAGAGACTGGGACACTGGAATAGGGAAAGCAAGTGTTTATAAAGGCCAGATACCCGTAACAAAAATAAATTTGTGCTTTCCCTCCCTCCCCGCCCCTCCCCTGCCACCCTCCCTTTTTTTGATTTTTTAAATACAAATTTTGTTTAGGAAAAATGGAAGCACCGTCTGTTACAAACCAAACCAAAAAGAGGAGAAAACAGAAGGGGGGGGGCGGGGAAAGGAGAGACATATTAGAATTAAACACCGTGGAATGTTAAACAGGTTACGGGCTACCATTCTAGCCAGTGCGGTTAGGCAGCTTAGTGAATTAATTGCTTAGGAATTAAAAATAAATTATTATAAAATAGATTTCTGTACATTTTACATACATATATATCTCTTTATATACGCAAACCGTGCTGGGCAAGAAATTACAGGAGACTTTCCCACGCCAGCCTCAGTCCCAGCCGAAGTCCTGCCCCGTCATCTGGTAGAACTTCATGTTGAAGGGCCGGTAGAAGTCCCGCAGTCTCTGCACCACCTCCTGGTCTATGTCGGGGTGGGTCCTGCCTTTCGTCTTCCCCAGGCAGTGGGGTTTGCTGCTGCCTTCCGCCTTCTTCAGGCAGGGGAACCCCTTGGTTTTGTTGAAGTAGAAGTGTTTGTCGGTGATGATCCTCTTGAGGCCCAGAAAGTCCTGGACCCTGCCCAGCTCCCCCGCGGGGTCGCTGATCAGCCTCTCCCCGCTGACGAAGAGGATCTGCCCGATGGGGAAGTAGAGGAGCCAGTTCTCCAGGTGCTTGGCATAGATGCCAATCTGGATGGCGCTCCACGAGGTGTCGATCAGGCCCGTAGTCCTGTTTTTGAAGGTCAGGCTCTCAAAGGTGGGGATATCGGGCTTCTTGGAGAGCGTCTGGGTGTAGTCCGAGATGGCTCTGGTCACGGGGTCCCGCACCACCACGATGAGCTTTGTGCCCTTGGACATGGAGGAGATGCGGGCTGGGGCCTCCTTGGTGACGAAGTAGCTGGGGGTCTTCTCCATGGTGATCTGCCCCTCCAGGGTCCTGGGCATGAGGTCCCTGCAGCAAAACACACAGACATGGGTCAGAACGACAGGTAACAGGACCAAAAATATGCATATGCATACATATATATATATATATGTTCACACATAGATACACAAGAATTTTTCTCCCTAAAATGCCTACACAGGCCATTTAGTGCGTACAGATAAATCCATCTTCCATTGATTTAGGGATTAGGGGGGGGATTATTATTAAAGGCCACTGTATTAGAAATCCAGCTAAGTAATCTCCCAGTTATCCATGAGTGGATTAGCTGGGCTATGCTCTGCACCTGGAGTGCGGCTACATGTACCACACGGGCTCCAGACCAGTCAGGATGAGTCCTGAGCTACACCAGGTGGCTTTCCTGGCTCAGGTCAACACCGGAGAGCCCTCAGCTCCAACCCAGGGCTCGTTTTCCCCACAGTAACAAGAAGTACAGTGTAACAGAAAAGCAGGACCTCACCGGAAAACGTCCACCTTGCTTTCCGTTCACCTCCCAAACGCAACACTTTTCCCAATTCAAGCAAGAGGGTGCAACTTGTCCCTGGCTTGTCAACAACAGGACCTCATCCAACCATAGGGGTCCTCTGGCACCCAGCTTCACCCATTTGCTTTACTATTCCCTCTCGCTGTGCAGACTTGCTCCCTATTGCACACTAGAAGGAACATCAAGAGCTGCTGGTGGCATCTTCAGCACATCCCAGTCCAGCACCCAACGAGGACAACCTCTCCCCTCCACTGCCACAAAGGCTACAGGTCCAGGACACAGCATACGACCACGGAGAACACAACCTCAGCTCATGGGTAGGATGTACCCTCACAAAATACCCTCAAAACCTAAAGCCTTCAGCAATTTCACTTTATTCCCTGGCTATTTCTAATTAATCATGTGGGGAAAAACTAGAGAGCTTGCAGAAATGATGGAAGCAGCACAAACCAGGAAGAGTAATTTTTTCCTATCATTCATTAGGCAAGCCTAAATATCTTAGACCATTTGCCAATTCTTTCCCTTTATAACCCAATGGGACTCATTTGCTCTGGGTTGCAAGACAGTTAAAAAAAAAGGCAAGAGGGGAGTCAGCCACAAAATTAAAGCTATAAAACTTGATTAAGTTTTCAAGCATCCACCCAGCACAGAGAAATAACCAGCCAGTGTGTAATCTGCAAGCCTCAAACAGCGTTTCCCTCAGACGTACGACACTGCACACAGAGGCTGTTTGTTCCCTGACGGCCATCTCCTCCCTTACCGCTTTTATGCTTCTACAGCAATGAAGACCATGGGCTCTTGCAATTAAAAAAGCGACTGATAATTTGTGCTAAAGCCAATGGTTGCCCTGATTAAGAAGCCAAGGCAAAAAGATGACCCATCTGTTCTGAGGCCAAATAATAGGAAAACCAGGAATGAGAGGTCTGATTGAATCAAAAATCATAACATGCCTATGAAAGTTGGTCAGCAGCTATTTATGCAACTGCTATTTAGCTCACACTGTAACTGGTATTTTGCTTCATCAGCTTCTGCAATTAACTTTATGCAATGTGTTTACTGGCAAGGGGCACCCAATGACTACATCTCTGCACTGCAGGTGAGGTGTGCTCAGAGGCTCCCCAAAAAGCCCCATCTCCACAGACCCATGGTGAGAGACGGTCCCCATACCAGATCTGCACGGGTCACTGGGAGAAGTGGTGATGGACAAGCTGGACTGTGGAAGAAGGGGCTATCAGCTTGTGGAAACCCCCAGCCATGCCCAAGGGTGGTGGCAACCCCCAGGGCTGCAATTTCAAGGCCATGCAAGTGGAGTTTCACATGCAGATAAAAATCACACTGGTCCACCAGACATCTGGGAAGCGAGAACTTCTGAAAGTCAGGAGCCAGCCTGTGCCAAAAAAACAGTAACCAAAATAAAACTCTGACTAATCCTTCACCTTTCTGGCCAACTCCACAAACCTGTAACACCATCGCAGAACACAGCCAGTCTGTAATGGTCAGACACCAACTCTTAAATCTATCATGGGCTGATGTGGATTTCAACAGTCTACTCATTAAGTGGTGTCTCTTTTTATGGCCACATTAAATCCAAGTTCTACATCCTGCGCTGGCCATCAACCGCTTTCCAGCTTGATTTAAGAGGCTTGTTTCAACCCACGAAGTCCTTAATGGGCTGGGACCTGCCTAGAGAGGAGATTGCTTCCCAAGACATGCTCAGGACAGCCGTGCTGCACCGAAGCCCTTTGGCTTCAGGTCAGGTCTGTCAGATTGCTTGCTGTATGGGGCCCTGCACCTCGAGACCAACTTCTCCTCCAGGACTACTACAGTCAGTATTTATCAGTCTCCTGGGAATAATGCAAGGGTTAGTTTTAACCCCTTGCACAAGAGAGGCATTGGGTAGGGCTGGGCCATGAAACAGGAGGAAATTGCTGGGGGTGGAGGTGCTGAGTCAGTTGATCTGGTTGGGAAACACAGGCTTTTAATTAGCATTTCAACAAAGAGGAGTACTCTGCAGAAGTGGAAGACAGCAAGGAGCACCTCTTCGAGTAAGAGGCATCCACAGGCCCAGTGTCAGTCCTTTTCCAGACCAGTCAGCACCTGAACCCACACTCTTGATTTGTGGCTGAGGACTTCCAGTATGTCTTGTTTCCAATAGAGCCGAGAGCACTCAGTTCTGTGCAGGTCTAGACCCCCCAAAATTGTTATTTTTGGAGAGAACCTGAATCCTTGGCATTTGCAGAACATCTCGCTGGTGACCCATCACAGCAAGAGAAGCAAGACAAGGCACACCATTGACATTGCTACTGGTGTCTGGCAGCACAGGCTAAGATGAGCGAGATAGAAACAGAGCCTTCAACCCAAGAATGAGAACTGAATCCACCAAAACCAGCCTTCAGCCCTAGCTCCAGCACTCCCTTCCTTTGTTGTACCCAGACGGGTGCCAGGCATAGCCCAAAACTAAGATCCTCGAAACCGTCTCAGACGCTGCCTTGTTTGAAAACTGGCTGCATAAAAGCTAGACAGCAGCAAGTGAAGCCAAATATTGTGGCCCATGGATGTGGTTTGAACCTCTGACAGCATCACGTCCAGGAAAGCAAAGTTTTATTGTATAGGTCTGTCTGTTGTGATGAGCCTTCTCATGCTTTCCATAATCTCCTATAGAGGCATCAGTCATCGTGCTGGCAGCCAGAGACAACAGAGCTTCAGGGACAGGAGGAGCTGGTAAGTTGGCTGGTCTGAACTCACACAGGTGGAAAAGTCACCAAGGAGCATTTATTCCCATTCAGACCACAACTGGAGAAGGGCAACCTGGCCCACATACAGCAATGCAGCTCCAACACAACACGCTGGACATACATGTTGGTGGAAGTAGGACCAGACTTCAGCTCTGAAGACATCTGCTCCTGGGGCTCCAAGACAGCAAGGGCTGCACTAAACAACAGCCATTGTAGGAGGGAAAAGAGGAGCTGTAATGGTCAGAAGAGCTGTAGCCACCATGCCCTGGCAGGATGCAACCCCTTTGGGCAAAAATAATAGCAGAAACCCACAATCAACTCAACAGTGCATGCGCAGTTCAGCCCTGTGGCAGTTCGTGACAGCTGTGGAGTCCTCTCTTTCCGTGGAAGGTTCACAGGCATGTTAGAGACCTGGGCAGCTTCTGCCAGCGCTGTTTGGTGCAAGATAAGAATGGCAGAGGTGCAGCTACCACGGTTGCCCATACAGGAGAGGAAAGGGAGATGATAAAGGGAGTCAGGCTGTGGGAAACAGGGAGCTCAACTGAGCCCTTGGACAAAAGCTGCTGCACCAGTCGGGACAGGGCTGGATGGAGACACCGCCGAGGGCTGTAGCGGATACTGTAGTGGAAAGTAAAGATAGTATGAAAAGCCTGGCAAGCAGTCCCTCCTGCCTTGTTATCCTCCTGCCTTCTGGCAACCTGGAGTTCAAAGACCTCTGGAGCCAGCATCTGCATCCAAATCATCCCATTTCATAGTGCCTATGAACTGTCTAATCCCTTCAAACCCATGAATACTTCTGGCCTTGAGAACATCCCACAGCAGAGAGTCCCAGCACCGAAGCACTGCTTTTACCTGTTATTTGAACCCTCCCCCTACATCCCTGCTCGGGAAGGGACGAGGCACCTGCTTTCTAAAAGCCAGGAAAAGGAAAGCCAGGACGAGGAGCACCAGCAGACTCCCGGCATCCCTTACTTCCCACCAAGCCCAGCCAGCAAAGTGCTGGCAGGGCTCAGCACTGCTCTGCTGACTTCGGCAATGCTGTCGGCAGCATCGGGGGTCCCAGCAAGAGGAGGGAGTTGCTGCGTGAGCACAGCTATGAATTTTCCACGGGCAGAGAGCAGAGCCCCTAACCCTGAGCTATTAACATGTCAAGAGGGACAGAGGAAAAGCTTTTCCTTTAATGAATATTTCCTCAGTGAAGCCTGCACCCTTCGTAGGCGAAGTGATAGGCTTAGTCTAAAGATGGATTGGCCTACTTTACCTATTAACCACTTAGACTAATGTAATAAAGGCTCTCTTTATTCAAACAGCCCTAATCCCCAGCCCGATGCAGCTCTGAAGCCTAGAATAAGGGATGCTAAAACGAACCCAGCCAGGCTGCTGCTTGGAGAAGCACTGGTGCAAGATTTTGTATTTTTTTTTTAAGTGCAAACTTCTCCAATGTGAAAACTGGACCCAGAGCGAGATAAATTTACAAAGTGGGGATGACAGGTGGCCACACGGTAATCCAATCCTGAAGCCTAATGCCCTTTGTGGCAGCTTTTGTCTGCGCAGAGGGGCTCTGGGCTAATCTGCTGCCACTTCTCAAGGAGGAACGGTGAGGGGCCGCAGGCTGGGGGGGTCAAGGGGACCTCTGCAACCTGTTGCTGCATTATTTGCCCCAGGTAGGACAGACCAGCGCGCAGGGCAGAGCCCAGCAGTTGTTACCGATTTTATCCCCGGGGACGTCTGTCGGTCCCCCCCACGCACCTCCTGCCATTTGCAAACACCCGCTGGGATAAACCCCTCCGGGGTCTGCCACGGCCCAGGGGTCTGTGGAGATGACCACCTCTGGCCGTCTGCCCATGTGGAGGTCACCGTCAGGCTGCCCAGCAGAGACCCGGCACACTCAGGTGCTCCTGCTGCCAAACAGGATTCCTGGAGCTGAGTGGGTGATGAGTTTTCCCTCCTGGGGAGGGTTTCATGCCAGATACATTCCTACCCCACACCCAGAGTCACCCAGCATCGCTTTCGGAGATGTTCCCCCCACTCCAGCGTGCTCAAGTGCTGAAGTCCCACTGGTAAGTTTTAAAATTGGGGTGCCCCGTGCTGCAGCGATGGCACCCTCCAGTCTCGAGCCCCTCCACCTCCAGACCACCCCCTGCTCAATCCTCTGAGCTGCCTCAGTTTCCCTCTGCAAGGATGACAAAACTCTCCTAGAGGAGATGAACAGCTGTGTATAGGGTATTGTAAAAGCAAGAGAAGCGTCGTTATGGTCAGGATAAAACACTGTAGCATCCGGATGCAGCTATGAGATGCAGACCGGGGAGCGCTCGCAGCAGTCCCCGCAGCAGATCTGCCAGCAGATACAGCAAGAACCTCCTTTGGTGCAGAATTTCTAGACTTACCCCCACAGCAGTTCCCTAGAAGCAAGGAAAATGGGGGAAAGGGGAGAAAAAGCAAGTCAAACTATTTTGGACATCAGCCACATTCACACCAAGTTCAGGCCTGTAATCCAGAACCATTTCCTTTCCAGCCTGGTGGTGCAGACGCAGAGCATCCAACCTATTTCTGGCCAGTTTCTACCCAAATTCCCAACTGGTGTTTCAAGACAAAGAAAAAGCGATTTCTTCCCAGAAATCCAAATCTTGGCAACCTGACTGTTTCTGGGGAAAGCGCCCCCAAATCCTCCCAAAAGGCTGTCTAAGAAACCACACAGATTAGATTGAAAGCTTATGGCGAGAAGGTGAATAGAAATGCAAAAGGTAGACACAAAACCTCTTCTTCCATTCTGGGAGGAGACACATTTCTAGCCTCCAGAGTCATGACAGGGAGTTTGAAAACCCAAGGTGAAAAGCCCAAGCAGCAAGACCCAGAACATGGTACAATTTGGTGCACGTGATGCATTTGTTGTGACTTTTGCTGCGTTTCTAATTTGCAGGTTGGAAAGCAAACAAGCCTGCTGATACCAGCTCGGAAAAGCTTTAAAGGAAACAAGTGCAGAAGATGAGGCAGACTGAAGCCTCGTCCCCTCCTACAATGATGCTCTCCAGCTTGCTGCATCCTCTCCTGTCCTATTCCTGTCCCCAGGGGCGGTTTGGTCTCCTGTCCCCATTCCAGCATGGTCCCGCTCAGCTTTGCTCCAGTCAGGATCCCACCAAAGCCAAAGGGCTTGTTTCAAACTACAGTCCATCCATCCGCTGCCTTAAATCAAACACACTTTTGAGGAGGGCTATACTGCCGTTCCTGCCCTGCACAGCCAATTCTCTTTCTAAATCCCCCTGCTTCTCTGCCTCTTCCTCTCGTCCCCTGTCCCAATAAATAAATTTAGGCTCACTTGCTAATCTAGTGTCTTGAAAAAGAGCTGTAGACACCCAGGAAAGGATTGGGGTGACATTTCCATTGCTGGCAGCTTTGCCTTCCAGCCTACCTGCTCTACCAAGGCGATACCCAGTTGTTCCCAGTCTCCGAGGCAGCAGGTTGCTGTCAGAAAGCAGGAAAAATGTACAGTGGTGAGCAGAGCAGCCAAGGGCTGGATTAAAACCACACACTTGTAGCCTCATACAGGCACCTGACAGTGAGGAAGAGCTCTGCAATGCTCTGGGAAGCAAAAACCGAGAGCATCACCAGCTCAGCTCTGAATACCACCACACTGGACCCTTCCTGACCCTCCTCACTGCAGGGCTGATCACAAAATCATCAAATCCCAGAAATACTCCTTAAAAGCAAGAACCTAACAAGCCCGGGGAAAGACTGTTAAAGTAATAAAGCATTTAGTTACATCACAGAGCCTGCCACCAACATCAAGGTCAACCGGCTTCAAAATTACCCACTTGGCTTTGACTCCCCTTTCTGGTGGCAGCAGCTCCAGATGGGGGAAAGAGGAAGATGGAGGGGGAGGAAGAAACAGAGAGAGAAGCATCAATAGCAAATTCCTCTTTGGGGGTGGGAACACTTGCTGGTTTATTATTTGATACATCACATTTTTCTTACCAAAATTTTCCCTGGCTCAGGCTGCCGTTGCACCAAGGACCTGTACAGTAGCACACAGCCTCTCCTCCTTTTATGACCAGCGGTGAGGGCAACATGTGCGCCTTTGTCTCGAGCAGGAGCCTGTTGTTTGGGTTGGCAAATTATACAACAATAAAAGGGAACGGCTGGGAACCAGCCTCGGCCTTTTTGAAACGGGTGTAACCCTATCCAGCTCCGTCAAACACTCGCCACGACATTTACACAAACCAGATGATGGGAATTAATGAACTTTGGGGGTGAGGAAGGGGTAGGTAAAGGAGGAGGGAAAGGGGGAAAAAGTATGTGGGCTTGAAATTAATGTTTTTCTCACTTTCCTTGCTCCCTGCCCCCAAATCTGCCAGGTGCCCTTCACCTGCTGGGGAGTTTGGGGATTAAAGGAGGGAGAGGAGGGTAACGGCATGTGAAGGCTCCCCATCAAGAAGCTGCTCCAGGGCTTCAATGGAGCCAAAGAGCCAGTGGCCATGGGTGGCATCACCACATACCCCACAGGAACAGGCTCTGGCCCGGCTGTGGAGTCTGATCTAAGTTCTTTTGATGCAGATAAAAAAATCCCATCAAAGGCTGGGGGAGTGGGGAGACGTGGGGCATCGGCAGATGGTCCTTTCGCCCCCACTCCACGCAGGCAGAGCCAGGTTGCGCCAAACGGCTCCGGCAAATCAAAGCAAGCCGTGCCTCGAGGAGGGGACAACGTGCTGCTGCAATCACGAGGGGCTGGGGCTTTTTTTTTTTTTGGTTGGTTTGGGTTTTTTATGAAAGACTTTATCCACCTCCCCAAAAGTCACTGCACTGAAATCAGATCTAGGAGCCACCACAGAGGTTTGACCCTCCCCATGCTGCAGTTGAGGGACACGGGGCACTTTGCCCGGCTGCAGCCAAGAGCAGACGGTTTGCAGCAGCATCTGAGCACCTGACCTGGAGAAAGAAGGGCCTGATCCATGCACAAAACCTGGAGGATTTGTGCCTCTGGGAAAAGCAATGGGTGTGATGAGCTGAACCAGCCTCTGCTGCAAAGGTCACTTCCCACCCTGTGCCAGCCAAAACCCACTTCCCTCCCAAATGCCTCCTCCACCTCATGGGTTTAAGTGGCTTAATTAGAAGCACAGACTTATAACCAAGATAATGACATGTTATCCCTCACAGGGTTGCTGCCTTGTATAACAAGTGCCATATATGGTGCACTGTAAAGCTGCAGCCTACAAGGGAGGAATAAGTTACAGCAGCAGAAACAGTCCACGGGAGTCTTGTCTGCATGGGGACAGGGTTTGTACTTTCACCAGAGAGCATAATAAAGAGGCCAAAGAGCCACACACCCTCCTTTGAGACCAATGGGTGACGCAGCCATCACTCCTGGGACATGCCTGTCCTTGGCAATGGATGCAAAGGCATGAAGTTGGTCTTGGAGGCAGCTGGCTGGAGCAATCCCCCTTCCCACCCCAGAGTGGATGGTCCATGCTGGCAGACTTTGGGAGGAAGGGCTCAAGGGAATGGAACCAGCCTGAAAGCTTGGGAGAAATGTATCCTGCTTGCAGATGCTCACATGGATGTGCCCGCAGGGTACAGCCCTCTCCTTCAGGCCAAAGCCCCTGAGGCCCGGGCATCTCCAGCCCTGGTCATAGGAGGACTAGGGCAGAGCAAGAACAGGGCAAGCAGCACCACCTGTCCCCCACTGCTCTCCAGCCTCCATCCAAATTCAGCTCAGGGGCTTTTCTGGGCCTGATGCAGTTTGTCCACCTAATAACCTTCAAATGATCTCTCTTCCAACCCCTTGTCCAGGTTCCTCCTGAACCCACACAGACCCTCCACACGCACAGCCTGCTCTAGGTCCTTGCTTTACCTGTTGTGCGCCTGCTCCTGCCCTCATGCCATAGCCCCAGTCCTTGCACCGTCACACCAGTCCATCCCTCCCTCTATCTCCAGTCTAGCTCTGACTTTGTAGAGTACCGTATCTTTCCCCCAAGACATCTCTTTGCCAGGCTGAGGTCTCCCAGCCTACTTGGTCATTCCTCAAACAGAAATTCCTCCAGCCCTAAAGGAACAAACCCAAACCGTTGCCACTGTCACCAGGTGGATTCATGCACCAACTGAACACGGGCTGCAAGGATGTGAGGCTTTCTTTGGACTAGAAAGGGCCAAATTTTCAATTATTTCCTCCCCTCTTCCCCCAACAACAGCCCAAGATGTTACAACCGCTCAGCAAGAACCTTCCCTCCTCCTTTGCTGGAGACAGGCAAGATATTCATCAACTGCACCAGTTCATTATATAGGCCCTCCTCTTTATGTAAACACCGAAGCCTCTTTCTGTCCCTCTTCATACTTAAAAGCTCTGAACTTCCACTAAATAATTATCTTCACTGGGGGGAGAGGGGCAGCACTTTACATATCAAAGGGCTGCTTTGGAGGGATTTACAATAATTTAAGATGAAGTGGTAAATATTCTATTCACTCCAGTTCATCTCCAGTAATAATTATAATCCTATTAGCAAGGTCCCAAGAAAGTGATTGCATTATCATCTAGCGAGCATCTATGTGGATTTCTTGGAGGGGTGGGATGGGGGAGGCCATAGGCAAGTAAAGAAGTAAAAACAACAAAAGAGGCAATTGCCAGCACCTCCCCTCCCCCAGAAGGATTTGGTCTCCATTGTCCCGATGCTTCAATAGTGCTTTGCTCTGAAAATAAGAGCTTTTGAGTGCAGTAAGGGGGTGGGGCTGAAATGAGCATCTTATTCCTCTCGGTCACCCCCTGGTTCCCTTTCATGGCTGTGGGTCCCCCCGGTGCTGCTCCGGCCAACAAAGAGCACACGTTGCTGTTCCTGGCGGGCGCGGGGGGCCAGGAGCAGCGCCGCGATTAAAAGCTAATTGCTGTTTATGGGTGAGTTCTTTAGAATATCGCCCAGCATCACTGGACTTCACTGCCCACTGGTCAAGTCATGTGAGATTACTCTAATCTGTCTCCATTTCCCCCCAAAAAGGAAAAAAAGACTGGTTTTGTTTAAAAGCAGAGCAGGGAGGGGGCAGTTCTGTGAAACTCATGATTTAAGGGGGGGAGAAAAAACCCTAAACCCAGCAGGACACATGACTGAGCTAACTGGCAAACTGGGACTAAAGACTTCTTTCCAGCAGATCGCAGGGCCAACTG